GGCCGGTGGGTATAATATAATATAATATAATATAATATAATATAATATAATATAATATAATATAATATAATATAATATAATATAATAATGTAATATAATATAATATAATATAATATATTATAATATAAAATAATAATGTAATATAATATAATATAATAATGTACTGTAATATAATATAATTAATATAATATAATATAATTAATAAAATATAATAATAAAATTTTATATAACATAATAATATAATATAATAATATATAATAATAATATAATATAATCATATAATATTATATTATAATATAAAATAATATAATATAATATAAAATATTAATGTAATATAATATAATATAATAATGTAATATAATATAATTAATATAATATAATAATAAAATTTTATATAACATAATAATATAATATAATATAATAATATAAGATAACAATATAATTTAATAATTTAATATAATATAATAATATAATATAATAATAATAATATAATATAATAATATTATTATATTATAATATAAAATAATATAATATAATATAAAATAATAATGTAATATAATATAATATAATATAATATAATATAATAATGTAATATAATATAATTAATATAATATAATAATAAAATTTTATATAACATAATAATATAATATAATAATATAAGATAACAATATAATTTAATAATTTAATATAATATAATAATAATAATAATATAATATAATAATATTATAGTATAATAATATAAAATAATATAATATAATATAACAAAAAATAATAATGTAATATAATATAATAATTAATATAACTAATATAATATAATATAAAATAATAATGTAATATAATATAATAATATAAAATAATAATGTAATATAATATAATTAATATAATATAATATAATATAATATAATATAATATAATAATAAAATTTTATATAACATAATAATATAAGATAACAATATAATTTAATAATATAATATAATATAATATAATATAATATAATATAATATAATATAATATAATATAATATAATAACACACTCAGCATGACACTTTATTTTTTTAAGGTTAGTGATCCATCAATTTCCTGTGCAGAAAAAATGACCCACTTTCTGCAGCGGTGGAGGTTTTCCAGACGGGAGTGTGCAAGGTGTTTTCCTTTTATTTTCAGAGTCAGTCATTCATATCCTGGAGAAATGTGACTACAGCGAAGGCCTCTAATCTGTCAACAGCCCGCTGCTTCAAACAACCCAGCACATGCTCCTGGGGTCAACGGGTGCGCAGAGGAGCTCGAATGAAGGACAGAGCGCCATCTAGAGGCCCACTCCACACATCTACGCTCTAAGAAATCCAGCAGCCAGACAGGCTATTTACATAAAGCACAGACAATGTGGTTTATGTAGAGCAAAACTCCAGAAATGTGTTCTTTAAAAGGAACAAATCTGAATTATTAATCGTCAAGCTGATTTACAGCGCTCCGGTGGCCCAACTATAAACCTTAAATCCATCCCTCATGGAGGATTTATTTAATATAAGCGAATACAAATGATTTTCCACCAATATTTCAGGGTGAGTTAACACACATATGTGACATGATACGAAATAAACTTCATTTTTCATGACATTTGGCTTTAATGAACCATTTATTTTTCATTGATAACTTAATATCAATGAATATGCTGTCGCCTCACAGCAAGAAAATCGCTGATTCAAGTCATTTCTGTGAGGAGTTTGCATGTTCTCCCTGTGTGGGTTTCCTCCGGGTGCTCCGGTTTCCCAAACACATGTGCTATAGGGGAATTGAATAAGCTAAATTGTCCGTAGTGTATGTGTGTGAAAGAGTTTGTATGGGTGTTTCCCAGTGTTGGGTTGCAGCTGGAAGGGCATCCACTGTGTAAAACAAATGCTGAATAAGTTGGCGGTTCATTCCGCTGTGGCGACCCCTGATAAACAAAGGAACTAAGCCGAAAATAAAATGAATGAATGAATAATATCAATAAATGAACTAGTAAATCAAATAAAACATTACTGATATACTCGCCTTCTGACCTCAGATTCATACACTTACACTCGAAACTGCATATTAGCATAATTTTCATACTATTTCTACATATTTAAAGTAATAAACATACTTGCATGCTTAAGTTAAAAACTTTATTCCCTAAAGCTAAAGTGCTGTCTGGGCGTTCCCTGCCTTTCTACAGCTCCCTTTCTTCATGTGTTCAATACTTTTCCCTCCGTCATTTCATTTTAATACACATAACTTCATTTGTAAACTAATTAGATTTGCTTCATTTGCATATATGGGTTTCTTTGGTTGTTACCAACACCCGCTAAAATAATATACACAGTTGAAGTCAGAATTATTAGCCCCTCTTGGATTTTTATAGTCTTTTTTTTTTATATATTTCCCGAATTATGTTTAACAGAGCAAGGAAATTTTCACAGTATGTCTGATAATATTTTTTCTTCTGTAGAAAGTCTTATTTGTTTTATTTCTGATAGAATAAAAGCAGTTTAAAAATTTTTAAACACCATTTTAAGGTTAATATTATTAGCCCCCTTAAGATAATTTTTACCTGATAGTCTACAGAACAAACCATCGTTATACAATAACTTGCCTAATTACACTAACCTGCCTAGTTAACCTAATGAACCTAGTTAAGCCTTTAAATGTCACTTTAAGCTGTATAGAAGTGTCTTGAACAATATCTAGTCAAATATTATTTACTATCATCATGGCAAAGGTAAAATAAATGTATTTGAAATGAGTTATTAAAACTATTATAATTAGAAATGTGTTGAAAAAAACCTGCTCTCCGTCAAAAAGAAATTGGGGGAAAAAATAAAACAAGAGGGCTAATAATTCTGACTTCAACCGTGTATCTATATTTATATATTTTGATAATTTTTTTTTAATATTTTGATAGTTTTTTTGTTAACTTTACAATAATCTTGGATGCTGGGCCAAATCAAAGATTACCATGGGCCAGTTTTGATCCGTGGGCTCTACTTTGCGCATCTCTGGGTTGAAGAAACACCTGTAGATGCACTTTCACAGATAAACAGAGGAGAAAATCATATTTTGTCAAAAACATGTACATTAGACATGCTTAACTACATGCTTAATATTTAATATTAAGCTGTTTATCTTAATTCTTAATAATTTGTACTTTTTTAGGGTTTTAAGGGTCAGTTCACCCAAAAATGAAAAGTTTCTCATTATTTACTCTTCCTTGTGTGATTTCAAACCTTTATGAGTTTCTTCTGTTATACACAAAAGAAGATACTTTGTAGAAACCTGTAACCATCTACAGTAGGAAAATAAATACTCAATACTGTGGAAAAAAGCGTAATTAAATTCTGAACGTGCTCTCGGAGTCTGAACCTTGTTTGTTAATTATTTTGTTTGCTGACTTGAAATGAGCTCGAAATTGTAGCAAAGAAGCGAGTCCATCTCACGCCGGATGAATAATGCAGACCTGAAATCTAATTACCTTTGATCAATTATTAAAAGCACATTTGGCCGACTCGGGTCGATCAGAGACTGGACAGAGAAAAACAGGAGGAATAATGCAGTTTAATGCACTGTTTCAGCCTCTCAGCTGAGGAGATTATCAGTGCTCAGGGCGTCATCATGGGTACAGTCTGAAATTAGAGCATTTTGTACTGTAATTATTCACTAAATAAATAAATTAATTAAATAAATTAAATATAATACAATTAAATAAAAATAAATAAAATATAAAATACATTTTTAAATTTTAATAATTAATTAATTAATTCAATTAAGTTAACTAGTAAAACATTATAAAATAAAAAATAAATAAAATAAAATATAAAATAAATTAAATTACATAAAAGAAATAATAGTTAAATAAAAATATATGAAATAATAAATAAATGTAAACATTAATTATTAATTAATTAAATTAAGTTAAAAAATAAACCAATTACAATAAAAAACTAAATAAAATAAAATCTAAAGTAAATGAAATAACATAAAATAAAAAATACACATAACATAAAATAAAAAAATAATAAACTTAAATAAAAATAAATAAAATAATTTAATAATTGAATAAAAAAATAAAAAAATTAACAAAATAAAATAAAAATAATAAAATAAAGGAAATAAAATAAAATAAAAAATAAAAACTACACAGACATATGTAAAAACTGACAAACAAAAAGACCAAAGAGTCACACAAGACGCCTCTGATATGGAGAATGAAGTCACATGCATTGCTCATGTGTGAGTTTATCACAGACTTCAATAATCTTGGTGGTTCTGTGGGTCTCGTCAATCAGATCTGAGCTTTATTTTGTATTCTCTATTGGATTCAGTTCAGGTGATTGGCTGGGCCATTCCACAGCTTGATTTTCTTTCTCTGAAAGCATTTGAGAGTTTCCTTGGCTGCGTTTTGGATCATTGTCTTGCTGAAATGTCCACCCTGGCTTCATTTTCATCCTTCTGCTAATGTAGATGTTGGACTGAGGAAGGGCAGAGGGTTGTTGAAGAACTACTGAGAGATTTCAGCTGCTGTCTGGGCTTTTACTCCCTTTCTACATCTTCCTTTCTTCGTGTGTTCAATACCTTTTCCCTGCATCCTTTCATTTTATTACACTTAACTTTATTTGTAATCTAATTAAATGTGTTTTATTTGCATAGGATATAGATTATTATATTATGAATTATGATTATTATTAATTCAGTGTTAATTAGGTATGTTATTGTATAACGATGGTTTGTTCTGTAGACTAGCAAAAAAATAAATAAATAAGAAATAGCTTAAAGGGGCTAATAATGTTGACCTTAAAATGGTGTTTAAAAAATTAAACAATGCTTTTATTCTAGCCAAAATAAAACAAATAAGACTTTCTCTAGTAGAAAAAATATTAAATAAAAATAATATATATATATATAATAATACTATAATAAAAACACTGTGAAAATGCCTTGCTCTGTTAAACATCGTTTGGTGAATAATTTTGTGCGTGTTCTACCTTGCTCTCTCTGCTGGTCTCTCTGCTCCATGGACACGAGGGCAGAAAAGTGCGCCTGGTCGTAAGCGAGCACCAGCGGGGAACAGTGGCAGCGGTTTGGAGGAACCTCCAGCGGCAGATACAGACCTCCGAACGGGATGGGTGCAAATGCTGTGAGAAGCACACACACACACACACACACACACACACACACACACACACACACACACACACACACACACACACACACACACACAAAAACAATCTTCATCTTCACATATGTTCAGTTGAGGACAAGATTTTTCGCCCTTCTGTGCAATAAACAAAAGCAGAAATCATATCTCAAATGAAAAATAATACATCAATTAAGAATGAGGGCTTTTACAAGGACTCGAGACATTTAAACAATCTACATATTAATCTTTTTTGGAGATTTAAAGCTGTAAAAAATAAAGAAAGTCAGTAGATTGACAGGAATTACAGCTAAAGTAATTTTTTGGCCTCATTAAATCCTAAAAGCGAGTTATTCGTCATTTAATGACACTCGATACCAGCTTTAATTGCTTTCCAACCAGAAAATAAAGGTAATTTTTCTATTTAACTTCTGGTAAACGGTAAAAAAGTTGAAAAAAACTGAACTTTTAGTACACAAAGAATTGCAAACATCTAATAATCACAAGCTTCTATGTTTTATTATGCAAATGAGGCATTACTTATTTAAATATGCGTTCATTTATTTGATTTCCAAGAACAAAAGTAGTTTGCAAAACACAACACGATCAAAAAGTCACAACAACACATGATTTTACGTAACTTCAACATTTAAATAAGTTATTCAGGTTTAAAAGAAATGAATAAAAGCCTCCTAGAAATGTAAGTTAAGCGATGATTTAAAAACTACTTTACCCTCTTTTAAATCTACCCCAAAATACTGAGGGATTGTGCATTGCAAATATCAGAGGGTAAAAAGCTCCCCAAAAAACAAACAAAACAAAGTGTGTGTGAATGTCGCCCTCTGGTGGTGTGCAAGCAGATCTGACCTTCTCCGCCGGAGTCTCTGAGCATTGTGTCCGCGATCACCACGATCGGCCTCCGCAAGACATGAGCCAGAACAAACACATGGAACTCCTCCAGACTCTCATACACCGGGTCTTCAGAGTTATCCACCCTTCAGGAGACACACACACACATGGATCCGATGAAACATTAGTGCTGAATGCTGAATATTTAACAAATTAAGGGGCAGGAAAACCCTAAAATACTTCCAAATGGATCGAACATAAAACAATTAGGTTGTCAGAAAGAAGCCTTAAGAATTGTGTTGATTCAACTCATTTTAAATAAGTGGTTTGAACAAGCAGCAAAAGTCTTGTGTGTAAATGTGTGGGACGTTGATACAAACACTATTAAAACACCTATTATTTATTTTTATTAATTATTTTTGTACCCAATGTACTATAAAAAAATCTAATTAAATAAAAATAATATTAAAATAATAAAAATTTAAAAAATTAAACTAAACAATAAAATAAGAAATAAATTAAAGAAATTAAATAGATTTTGAATAAATAAAAATGTAATTAAATAAAAAAATAAACAACAAAATAAACAACAAAAAAATAAAGTGAAATAAATAAATAAATAATGAAATAAAAATAAATAAATAAATAAATTAGAAACTACACATAAATAAAAATAAAATAAATAAAAATAAATAAATTAAATTAAATATAATAACATTTTATAAAAAGATATTAAAATATTAAATAAATAAAAAAATTAATAATAATTAATTAATTAAATTAAGGTAATTAATGAAAAATTATCAAATAAAAAATAAATTAAATAAAAAAATAAATTAAATAACATAATAAAAACTACACAACATAAAATAAAAATTAAATAAATTAAGTAAAAAATAATAAAATTTAACAAAAAAAGAATTATTATTAAAATAAAAAAGATAAAAATTAATAAATAAATACAATAAATTAAATAAAATAATAAATAAATAAAATAAAAACTACACAGACATATTTAAAAACTGACCAACAAAAAGAATAAAACATCAACTGAAATTTAAATAAAAAAAAATAATAATAATCAACTATTAAAAAAAAATCACAACAATCCTGGGAAATTTTGCAATTTCTCCTAGTTTAGTAATTTATTTAACAAGTTTAGTAATTTATTTATTTTTAATTGATTATAGCACATCGATGTAATATAAATGTCTCCTTAGCAATCAGCTCAATATGTGATTTTTATTTTCTTTTGAGTAACAAAACTAGTTTCAGTTTTACATTACCACAATAACCTTGCAACAGCGTCTAAAATTTGTACGTTTTGCACTTTAAAAGTAGCATGTTTATGCAAAAATATATACTGGGCAGCAAAACACCTTCATAAATGTGACGATATTCACAATACAGCATCCTGTGCAGAAACATTTCAGAATATATTCAATCCAAAAGCATTAATGCAGGAGATAAAAACAGTCCAGCATGATAAAACTCTGTCTATCTCATATATAATGCACTTCGTATCTGAATAAAGTGAACTGATATTTTTCTTTTACGCAAGCAGTTCATGTCAAGCACAGTATTGTGAAAGCACCCTGTCTGAGAACAACAGGAAGTTGTGTTTAAGTTGAGAGTCTGAGAGCAGAGTAAAGGTGAAGTGTGAGTTTCCTCTGTTTAGACCGCAGTTTCCATCACACTGATCTGAAACCTGAGATCAACCGCTATGTTTCCTACAGACTCCGCTAAAGGTGAAACACAGGCTCACATCAAAGGGAAACTAGCAAAATAACTAGCTGCGTCCCAAACCGCCCACTAGTTCACTAATCCCCATGTAGTGCTTCCTCGCAATGCCCTATGGGAAATACCGCTTAACCGAATGCACACTGGATAAACACTCAAAATCAGAGTGGACTGTGGTTAAAAAGTAGTAAACAGAGGTGTAGGGAATGACATATTTCCCTCAGAATCACTACAAAATGGCAGACACCTGATGTAGTGCACTTTATAGTGGATAGGGAGCAGTTTTGGACACAGCAACTGACGGTTTTTGGACAAAACACGGCCCCTAGCGAACACTGGTTGAGTAAAAACATTGCTCTGCCCTAATCGTGTGTGTCGCAGAGGTAATTCAGGCTTAGATTATAAATGAAATTTCCCTCAAGTGTTAACATCAGCCATCTTTTTTATTTTTTCCCGCTCTTTTGCCTCATCGCAATGGCTTATGGGAAATGCTGCTTCAAAGAGTGTGCATTGAACAAACACTCAAAATCAGAGTGGATTGTGGTTAAAAAGTAGTGAACAGAGGTGTAGGGAATGCCATATTTCCCTCAGAATCACTACAAAATGGCAGACACCTGATTTAGTGCACTATATAGTGGATAGGGAGCAGTTTTGGACACAGCTACTGACTGTTTTTGGACAAAACACGGCCCCTAGCGGCCATTGGTTGAACAAACACATTGCTCTGCCTTAAACGTGCTATTGGCTGAACCAATGTTGACGACTGGATTAGAGTGAAACATTTGGGTTTGGGTGATTTTGTTTTATGATAAAAATTAAAACCTGACCTACTGTGAGAGCCGATGTTGTTACTTATCTATTTATTTCTATTATTATTTCTATTATAGTTTGCTTGACATTATTTTAGCTTGATTTTAAATTAATTATGTTTAACAGCAGAACTATTGGTGAAAACTGCATTACCTATAATGCAGAAAATAAAAGAGTTGACGATCAAGTTTTAGCCCCGCCCACTCTCATGAAACGCTATGAATAACATATATGTTTTCTCAAAATACTGAAAATAAAAATATACATTAAAAATATGTAAAAGATATATTTTTTCTATCGATAAGAACAAGTTATTTTTGATGTTGTAGCGGTTAAGTCTTGTACTTTTGTCTCTTTGTCTGATCTTCATAAACTTCTTTGGTTTGATTTGAGCAAATTATAAACTAGAAAGTGCTAATTTTGAGAAACTAAAGGAAAATACTGTACATGAATATAATATTTTAATATAACACAAATATAATATTTAATATTAAAAACCTTTTTAAACAGTTTATAATTGAAAACAAAAATATAAATATTATTAAAATCTTATACACTTAAATAAATACACTTTAATATTAAACACACTAATACACTTACAAAATAAATTCAATGATATTTAAATACGATAAATTCAAACATATTAAATACAAAAAAATAGAGAAAAAATATATATATAAAACATACATACATACATACATACACACACACACACACATATATATATATATATATATATATATATATATATATATATATATATATATATATATATATATATATAATACAAAAATACATTATTGTGTCTGTGTGTGAGAAAGTCACAATTATTTAAAGCACTAAATGACTACAAGGACATGTTAAAATGAGGAATTTGGTGACGTATTTAATAGCTGTGAATGTTAAGGTCGCCATTGATAGTAATTAATAAATAATTAATTTCAAAATTATATAAAATACCCCCAATTTATTCAAATCTGTTTTGCCAACCCAATTAAAAATAAAAAAGCAGATATTGCTTCTAATTTATTTTTTATTCATGTATAATTGCTGAAAATAGGAACACGCCTGTACTTTTTTTTCTGATTGACTCAAAATGAAATCAAATGAAAGTTCAGCATTGCACTGTGGGATCCTGTTCAACAAGCGTGTCACTCCTTCTATTGCCAGCAGGTGTCAGTGTTGCGCATTTAAATGAACGCAGGGATGAAACAGGCGGTCAGTTCAGTTTTATGGCACAGTTACAGCATTTGTGCTATTAGGGGTCACACTTTATTATTTATCATATCCCACATCCGGGATTATTATAATGTGTTGAGGCCCTTTAATATTGTTTTTTTGTCTTTCTTCCACTGCTGTGGCTGAGAGGAGTGTGTGTTCAGATGCTTGTAGGAGGCAGAGATGTGATTGTGTGTGTGTGTTTGATGTGAACGCTGTAGGATTTGCATGAGAGGAAATGTTTGTCGAGAGTCGGAACATCTCTATAGTGGGCGGCGACGGAAACACAGCTGAGTCTGACATAACAATGTGTTCATGTAGGTGTGTGTGTGTGTGTGTGTGTGTGTGTGTGTGTGTGTGCGCGTATGTGTGTGCATGAGTGTGTGTGTGTTTGTGTATGCTTGAGTGTATGTCTGTGTGTGTGTGTGTGTGTGTGTGTTTGAGCATGTGTGCGTTAGTTTGTGCATGAATAAGTGTATGTATATGTGAATAGTATGTGTGTGTGTATGATTGTGTGTTTGTATGTATGTGTGTGTGCGGGTTTGTGCATGTGTGTGTGCATAATTGTGTGTGCGTATATGTGCGCATTAGTGTGTGTGTGCATGTGTGTGTTTGTGTGTGGATGAGTGCATGTGTGTGTGTGTGTGTGTGTGTGTGTGTGTGTGTATGCGTGTGTGAGTGTGCGTGCGTGCGTGCGTGCGTTTGTGTGTGTGTTTGTGGATGTGTGTGCCTGTGCATAAGTATGTATGTGTGTGTGCATGATTGTGTGTGTGTGTGTGTATATGTGCGTGCGTTTGTGTGTTTGCATGTGTGTGTGTGTGTGTGTGTGTGTGCATAAGTGTATGTGTGTGCAAGTGTTGGTCTGTGTTGTGTGTGTGTGCACTTGTGTATGTGTAAGATTGTGTGTTTGCGTGTGTGTGTAGATTGTGTGGTTGCGTGTGTGTGCATTTGTGCATGAGTGTGTGTGTATAAGATTTTGTGCTTGTGTGTGTGTGCCCACTTGTGCACGAGTGTGTGTGCTACTTTGTGCGTGCGTGCATTTGTGTGTGTGTGTTTGTGGATGTGTGTGCTAGTGCATAACTATGTATGTGTGTGTGCATGATTATGTGTGTGTGTGTGTGCGCGCGCGTGTGTGTTTGCGTGTGTGTGTGTGTGTGTGTGTGTGTGTGTGCATAAGTGTGTGTGTGTAAGTGTGCATGTGTTGGTCTGTGTTGTGTGTGCGTTTGTGTGTGTGCACTTGTGTATGTGTAAGATTGTGTGTTTGTGTGTGTGTGTGTGTAGATTTTGTGCTTGCGTGTGTGTGCCCACTTGTGCATGAGTGTGTGTGCTACTTTGTGCGTGCGTGCATTTGTGTGCTTTTGCATAAGTATGTATGTGTGTGTGCATGATTGTGTGTGTGTGTGTGCGCGTGCGTTTGTGTGTGTGTGTGTGTGTGCATAAGTGTATGTGTGTGTAAGTGTGCATGTGTTGGTCTGTGTTGTGTGTGCGTTTGTGTGTGTGCACTTGTGTATGTGTAAGATTGTGTGTTTGCGTGTGTAGATTGTGTGTTTGCGTGTGTGTGCATTTGTGCATGAGTGTGTGTGTGTGTATAAGATTTTATGCTTGCGTGTGTGCCCACTTGTGCATGAGTGTGTGTGCTACTTTGTGCTTGTGTGCGTGTATATGTCTGTGTGTGTGTGCTTCTGTGTGCATATATGTGTGTTACCCTCCGCTGGAGTTGCCGTTCTTGCTGAAGTGTGTGCGGGGCTCGCTGGAGGCCAGTTTTAGCAGCTCGTTCCACTCTCTCTCCCATTCCTCCTCCGTGTACACCAGACCCGACTGCACACACACACACACACACACACACACACACACACACAGATATAAGCACACACACATGCATGATTTACAACAAACACCACAACATGACCTGTTATTCAGAGATGCTCCATTTCCTCTGCATCACAGCACAATCAAGAGTTCACACTAAGCTGATGCTTGATAAGGTAAATGTGTGTTTGGCATGCTGTCTACTAATTACTAATTACTAATACGTTTTAGTCACAGCTTCCGGGTCATGCTGACTTTAACGAGTAAACGTGCATCAACGCTGCAGTAAGGTTTAAGACTGAACCTCTTTGTTCTGCTGAGTCTGCTGCCACCTCCACCTCCTCTTCAGAGCCTCTCTCTCCGCTCCGCTCTTCATCATGGCGTAGAGACTCTTCCTCAGCACCAGATCCCGGTCATGAAAGCCCCACATTCCTGGAAAACACAGACACACGACACCTCATGAGTCCCACGACAGAGCCTGCGCTGCTATTTAAAGGAGCACCAGATGAAATCAGAACCCGACTCTTCAGTGCTGATGCTCATGTTCACGGGAAGTCTCACCTAAAGAAGCGGCGTGCAGAAGGCAGTTCCCATCTCCTGTCGTGGCCAACGGTAGAAGCTTCTTACAGCTGGTGCACATGGTGGACCACCAGTTCAGACGACCTACAGACAGATTGCTCGTTGCTATTAGCTTTCATGAACCAAAATCCTACATTTTCCATTAACTTCAGAATAAAGGTTTTGTTTGTTAGACCTCCCTAACACACACACCTCAAACCTCCTCTGATATTATGCTGGCTAAACTACGTTTTATACCTGTTTTTTTGGCATGATGGCTAGCTTCTGAGGATCTTTTGGTCTACTTTACTTTGTCAGATAAGTCTTTAGTGATTTCCTAATTGTGAACAGAAGTGTGGCAGTAATCAGGTCTGGATGTGGCTGGAGAAATTGTATTCGGATATGATAAACTAGAGTTAAGTTATATATATATATTTATACATATTTATACAACAGTTCTGTCAGGTTCTCAAATCTGATTGGCTGATAGCCGTGCGATATTCTGCAATATTAGAACTCCTACAGCCTCTTTACCCTTTGTGTATTACTCCGCCCACATAAAGCCAGCAGAGAGCAGACACTACAGATCTAGGGCCCTATCATACACCCGGCGCAGTGTGGTGCAAAGCGTGACGCAGTAGTCTTTTGGTAGTTTCAGCTTGGCGCAAGAGTTGTTTTGAGGCGTTGTGCTACGCTGTTTAAATTGCAAATGCATTAGCGCTCATATGTGCGCCCATAGGCGTTCTGGTCTAAAAAGGAAGGCGTTCTGAGGCGGACCGCTGGTGCGTTGCTATTTTGAGAAACTATAATAGATATTTCATTAGACCAAAACTAACCCGGTCTAAACTCCGGCGCAGAGTTGCACCTCGCTTACACACTGCTTAATACACACAAGAGAGCAACAGGCAAATATCTTTACATATGAAAAAATGTAAATATTAAGGATATATATAGGATATAATAAGAATAGATATAGGATATAAATATAAAGGATTAAAATATTATAAAACACATTATTTTCTAGCCTACATAAATATGAAAAATCACTGCTTTTATGTCTTTATCTCGGGAGGCTTTTTCAGTTCATTCATAACAATTTGCCTTTGTATAATGTTATTATTATTAGCAGTATTATTTATTATATCCATATTTATATTTGTTTTATTAAAAACAAGCTTAGATTTGCCCACCTGTCAGGTTTTAGACCATATGGGGAACATCATGTGTTTTAGGATATAACTCAGGTTTTTTAACACACTTCATTATTATTGTTTATTTATTCGTTTGCTGGAAATTAGAACTGAATTTAGAAATAGTTTTGAAACTAATATTTGCGCTTAACAAACAAAAGTATTTATTTATAGACTAATTGATGTCTGTGTGTAAAGGTTTCCCTATCCAAGAGAGCGAAAGTGAAAGTAGATCCATTATCTCTCACTCTCACGCAGTAGATGCTCTGTTTAACAGTTTTGTTAACTGTTTGCTTGTGAAATGCTCATTTTTCCCACTTAGACTTACTTTGCGTCCTGTAAATAGCGAATGCGCTCTTGGCACGACGCAGCTGACTTTTAAAGGGAATGGGAGATGAGACTCTAATTGGTTTATTCTCAAAACACATCCATAACTCATTAAGAAAATAAACTCAACCCTTTTAGACCATGCGCCTTGGCGCAAAGCAGATTTCCCGTCCTTAAATTAGCATAAACTCGTCCTGACACGCCCTGAAAGCGTTTGCGCCCTGCGTTTTGCGCTTTGCGCATGTACCGTCAAAATAGAGCCCCTAAAGTTTAAAAGATTTTTTTTAACTGTTTTAACAGCTGTTTAACTGTCAGCTTATGATTTGAATCCAAGGCGGAAGAAAGTAGTTCCTCATAAAAAAGGGTTTTTGAGACTCTCCATGTTTGATTTTGTTTTGATATACACAATTATGCCGTCAAACTGTTGTATAAACGCAATTTAAACTCGTAGCAGTGCGATATGGCTGTATATCCGCACTGGTTGGGGGCACTAAGGCACTTGGCCTGCGGCCTCGTGCCAGCGCACGCCTCCCACCAGTGCCGATATACAGCCATATCGCACTGCTACTCGTGTGATATTGCTCATATATATATATAATACAGTGTTTTATTTACAGTGTGTTAAGATCTCTCAGCCACCATAAAAAACGGAATAGTAAATAAATGCAGAATGTTATATTTGGGTGAACGATCATACCAAACTCCTGAACGTGTGTGTGTTAGCGTGAGTTGTACTGTAAGTTCATCTGTGTGCTCATTGCTACTCTCAGTCTGGCTGTTGATCCGTGATGAGGGATTAGTTTCATTCTGTGCCCAATCTAGCGAGTGTTACGCAATCCAGCAGCACTGATGATGATGATGATGATGATGATGATCTCACCGGCCTGCTCCAGAGCCATCATGGTGGACTGCTCGATCAGGTCGCGCTCGATGAAGCTGCGGAAGTCTTCGCTGTAGACGCTCAGGTCGGGCAGCTGGAAGGTGTAGATGGGCATCTCCAGGGGAAACTGCTCTCTGGCGCAGTCTCCCGAAACCTGCAGCCGCGCCAGAGACATGATGGCAGAGCTGGCGTGAGAGATGCCCCGGGACAGACGCTTCTCTGCGGAGAGATGGAGGAGAAGGGGGATCAAAACTGAGCAGACATCATATCAATACATGTGCATGATCTATTTCTGAATAACCCCTGCTCTCACACTGTATTTGTTTGTGTATTTGTGTGTGTGTGTTTGTGTGTGTTTTTTTCTTTTTTGCCTGTGTGTATTTTGTATGTATGTGTATGTGTTTGTGTATATGTGTGTGGGTTTGTGTATGTCTGTGTGTGTTTTCTTTTTGTGAATGTGTGTGTGTATGTCTCTGTGTTTTTGTTGTATATGTGTGTGTGTTTGTGTGTGTGTGTGTGTGGGTGTGTGTATGTGTTAGTCAATGTGTTTGAAGGTGTTTGTGTATGTCTGTGTGTAGTGTTTTTGTGAATGTGTGTGTGTGTATGTGTGTGTTTTTAAACATGTGTGAGTGTGTATTTGTGTGTGTTTCTGTATGTATGTGTATGTGTTTGTGTATATGTGTGTGGGTTTGTGTATGTCTGTGTGTGTTGTCTTTTTGTGAATGTGTGTGTGTATGTGTGTGTTTTTAAACATGTGTAAGTGTGTATTTGTTTGTGTGTGTTTATGTATATGTGTGTGTACGTGTATAGGTTTGTGTACAGGTTTGTGTATGTGTGTGTGTGTGTGTGTATTTGTATATGTGTGTGTTTTGTGTGTGTGTATGTTTAGGTGTGTATGTAGTCTGTGCATTTGTCTGAATGTGTGTGTATTTGTATATGGTGTGTGTTTGTGTATGTCTGTGTGTGTTTTTATGTGTGTGTGTAGGTGTGTATGTTTATGTCTTTGCATGTGTCTGTATGTGAGTGTGTGTGTTTTATATCTGTATGTATGTGTATGGTGTGTGCATGGGTTTGTGTGTGTTGTGTTTTTGTGAATGTGTGTGTGTATGTGTATGTATGTGTTTTTGTTTGTGAGTGTGTGTGAGATTGTGTGTGTGAATGTGTTTGTTATGTCTGTGAGTGTGTATTTCAGTGTGTATTTTGTATGTTTGTGTATGTCTTTGTGAGTTGAGTTTTTGTGAATGTGTGTTTGTGTGTGTCTGTGTGTGAATGTGTGTGAATGAGTTTCTGTTTCTGTTTGTGTGTGTGTTTTGTATATGTGTGTATGTCTGTGTTTTTGTTTGTGTGTGTTTGTGTATGTCTGTGTGTTGTGTTTTGTGAATGTGTGTGTTTTTGTGTGTGTGTAAGTGTATATGTGAATGTGTTTTTGTGTGTGTATGTATGTCTTTTGTTTGTGTTTATGTGTTAGTTAATGTGTTTTTGTGTGCATCTGTGTGTATGTATGCGTGCATGTTTGTGTGTATGTTTTTGTTTATCTGTGTGTGTATGCATTTGTTTGTGACCGTATGTGTGCATGTATGAGTTATGTGTATATCTGTGTGTGTTTCTTTGTTTATGTGTGTGTATGCTTGTGTATGTATGTGTGTATGTGTGTGTATACGTGTATGTATGTGTATATACATGTGTTTGTGTGTGCCCGCTCTCACCCTGTGTGTTGTCCTCTGGCTGTTTCTGCTCTGGCCGGCTGCTGTGCTGTGGTGTGCTGCTGCTGCTGCTGCGCTCCGTCTGCTTGTAGTATCGGCCCTCATTGAAGACGTGCGGCAGGTTGGCGGTGTGAACCTGCCGGAGCTGCTCATAGTCGTTCAGAGCCGCGCTCAGGTCCCAGTTTTTACCTGATACACACACACACACAATTCGTTCCAATTCTTCTACTTGTTCTCCTTAAGGTGTGTATCAAACCCCAAACACGGAGATCCGCTTTACAATACAGACGGACAAAGCCCTGCTCTGAAGAATACTGAAGAAAACACACACAGTACTGACACGCTGTCTGTTCATTCTGTCTACAGACGGAGAGAAAATACAAGGTGAAGAGAACTGGAGGAAAGACGGAGAAGCAGAACACTCTAATGCCAACAGACAGACACCTTGAGACACACACACATGCGCACACATACACACACAGCTGCCTCCATGTCCTCCATCTTCTTATCTCTGTAACTCAAACCCTTGCAGGGACCAAAGAACAGGCTGGTCTAAGTGTGTGTGTATGTGTGTGTGTATGTGTTTTTCTTTGTGTATGTGTATGGGTTTGTATGCACTTGTGTATGAATATGTTTGTGTATGTTTGTGTGTATGTTTTTGTTTATATGTGTGTGTTCGTGAGTGCTTTTGTGTGTGTGTGTGTGTGTTTGTGTATATGTGTATGGGTTGGTGTATGTCTGTGTGTGTTGTGTTTTTGTAAATGTGTGTGTGTATATGTGTTTGTCGTTGTGTACGTGTTTGTCTATGTATGTTTGTGTGTATGTGTGTTTGTGCATGCGAGTGTGTGTATGGGTTTGTGTATGTATGTGCGTGTTTCTATATGTGTATTTGTGTATGTCTGTGTGTGTTGTGTTTTTATGAATGTGTGTGTGTATTTGTACGTATATGTTTTTGTTTGTGAGTGTACGTGTGTGTATGTGTTTGTGAGCGCTTTTGTGTATGTATGCATGTTTTTGTTTGTGTGTGTTTGTGTATATGTGTATGGGTTGGTGTATGTCTGTGTGTGATGTGTTTTTGTGAATGTGTGTGTGTATACGTGTTTGTCTTTGTGTACGTGTTTGTCTATGTATGTTTGTGTGTTTGCGTGTTTGTGCATGTGAGTGTCTGTGTATGTGTTTGTCTATGTATGGGTTTGTGTATGTATGTGCGTGTTTCTGTATGTGTATTTGTGTATGTCTGTGTGTGTTGTGTTTTTATGAATGTATGTGTGTGTGTATTTGTACGTATATGTTTTTGTTTGTGGGTGTACGTGTGTGTATAGGTTTGTGAGTGCTTTTGTGTATGTATGTGTGTTTTTGTTTGTGTGTGTTTGTGTATATATGTGTATGGGTTTGTGTATATGTTTAAGTATGTGTGTGATGATGTGTGTTTGTGTAAATGTGTATGTGTGTGTTTGTGTTTTAGGTTTTGCCTATATTATGGAAACCAAATGTTCCTCAAGGACAGCAAATTTGAAATCGTGTACATAATGTAAACACACACACACACACACTGTCACAATTGATATCTAATCCTGGCATATCGCTGGTAAACACGCAGATCACTAACAGACTACAAATCCGCCATTTTATGGACTACGAATACACCCCATGCACCCCACACACACCTGTTCCTGTTCTCCTGTGTTTACACACAAGCACACGCTGGAACTGCTCATGTACTGATTACGCTACTTATATACGGCTCTCTTTGACTGTTACTGTAAAACATTATGCAGGTTTCCTTCAGGTCAAGATGATCTGCTGCAGTTTAAAGCGAGCATCAGAATGGGGAAGAAAGGGGACTTAAGTCACTGAACGTGGCATGGTTGTTGGTGCCAGACTGGCTGGTCTGAGTATTTCAGAAACTGCTGATTTACTAGGATTTTCACGCACAACCATCTCTAGGGTTTACTGGATATTAACTGGAAAACTGGACCATAGAAGATTGGAGAAACGTCGCCTGCTCTGATGAGTCTCCATTTCTGCTGCCACATTCAGATGGTCGGGTCAGAATTAGGCATTAACACCATGAAAGCATGGATCCGTCCTGCCTTGTATCAACAGTTCAGGCTGGTGGTGGTGGTGTAATGGTGTGAGGGATTTTCTTGGCACACTTTGGGTCAATTGGTACCAATTGAGCATCGTGTCAACACCACAGCCTGCCTGAGTATTGTTGCTGACCATGTCCATCCCTTTATGACCACAGTGTACCCATCTTCTGACGTGCAGGATAACACGTCATGTCAAAAAGCGTGAATCATCTCAGACTGGTTTCCTGAACATGACAATGAGTTCACTGTACTCAAATGGTCTCCACAGTCACCAGATCTCAATCCAATAGAGCACCTTTGGGATGTGGTGGAACGAGAGACTCATATCATGGATGTGCAGCCGGCAAATCTGCAGCAACTGTGTGATGCTATCATGTCAATATGGAGCAAAAATCTCTGAGGAACATTTCCAGTGTCTTGTTAAATCTGTGCCACAAAGGATTAAAGCAAGGGGGTCCAACCAGTTACTATTACTAGTACCTAATAAAGTGGCCGGGTTTTCAGGATATGAGATTTCCTATATCTTGATATGAGATTGTCGTCACATCAGCCAGCTATAAAACAAGTGACACTGTGTAAAGTTTTTTGACAAGAAGTCAAGATTATTTGAAACTTTGTTGCTTTAATTTATTTTAGTAAGTTAATCCGGCTTCAACAAAACTTTTTTTAGTTATATAAAGTTTAGCTTAATATTTTTAGTCAGTTTGATTGATGTAAGTTGAGATACTTAACACACTAAAAAACAAACTTCCCTTCCTAGGGTCCGTTCTTCGTACGTGGATTACACAATTAGCTGGATTTGGATGTTGACGATTTGACACGATCCAGGATCGTTTCGTTCTTCAAAGCTGATCCGAGAGTTGTTGTCATAGCAACAGTTCTGCTAGATCAAACCTGCTCGGTAGCAGGCTCAATTCATATAAACAGGATTAGATCGGCTCAGTTAATGCAAAGAAAATAATGAAAGTATGTTCCAAATGATTTTCTTACAGTAGTTGTTATATACACTTGGGAAAATAGTAACTATTTTAACTATATATATATATATATATAAAACTTGCAATCTGCACCCCTGAAATGAAAGTACCACCTGGTGGTGCAAAGAGAAAACTTATTGATATGAACTTTTTAGATCGCTTTAGAAAAAATTGTGCATGATAATAGAAATGCACAATATGTGACTTTAAAAGCAATAATTCATTTATGCAGTCATAAACATGTTTTGATAGTTAATATGCCAGTGATTTGATGCTTCACAAAAGTTGCAGACGCCTTTACCAATATCAAAATGATTTTGTAAACATCCAGTTATTCCATACAGCGATTAAAAAAACGACTACTATAATAAAGAAAATCTTTTCTAAATGTAGAACTAAATACACTGATTTGCATTGAAATACTTGATGAATACTCTCGACACATGAAAGTGTAAAGCCTGCAGCTCACAACAAATGTGTTAGGTTATTGCGTGTCACATTTAACAAGCCGTTTACTGCTAATTTGATGTAATTTTGCTCACATGGATAAATGAATATTAATCAGATGATGTCATTGCGCTGCTGTGCCGTCAGCCAATCGTTGCATTGCTGATCATGATTTCGAGGATCGATAGATCTGTCCTTCACAACACAAGCAGCGATCTCAGATCAGTTTACCCAGACATTCTAATCTGATTCGCCAACTTGTTTGAAGAACCAAATTAGCGAGAGATCAGTTATCGAGATGAAAAGATCCAGGATCTGCCAAATCATCTTAGATCATTTAAGCGAGGTACGAAGAACGGACCCCTAGTTTCTCCTTTTTCTCAAAGCAAGTGAAGAACCGATCTGAACTACTCTAACCCAGAGTCTTCCGTGTCTGTGCTAATGAATGCAGACAATCACAGCTCCTCTAAAAGACGTTCCTTCACTAATTAACCTTTTCGTTCCCTATTAATCAGCAGCTTCAATTTATCCATGTTGGAGAGACTTTAATAAAGTGGCCAATGTGACGCGAAGGGAACAAACAGTCTTCACAAATGCACACCATGCAATGCATTCTGCTGGCCCAATATTAAAGCCTCCACATTTATTGTTTTGAGTGCTAAATGTAGGCTTACGATGGTATCAAATGTTCTCGTTGCGATTAATTATTGAAGCTTTTAGCATGATGTTGACCTGAGCTGCAAATATGTTTACCTTAATATGCCTAATAACAAAAAAACACTGCACAGTTGCAGTCTAAATTATTCACCCTCCTGGGAATTTTCTTTACTTTTTCAAATATTTCCCAAATGATGTTAAACAGATTCAGGAAATCTTCACAGTATGTCTGATAATATTTTTTCTTCTGGAGAAAGTCTCATTTGTTTTATTTGGGCTAGAATGAAAGCAGTTATACATTTTTTAAAACTATTTTAAGGTCAATATTATTAGCCCCCTTAAGCAATTCTGACTGAATTTTTACAAGGCATCCCCTAATCACAACAGCGACTTTCTGAATGGAGGACAAGGCAAAAACCAAAATGTCTGCCAATGTCAGCCGAGTCATTTTTCCCAGAACGTCTCCAATCACACAAAGGGTGAAACTGGAGGCTTTTTCTCCTGCTCGTTTTTCCAAAACAGCATCTGCGACGGTGGATCCTCGGGGACTCGGCGGAGGAGCAACAACAGTCAGGTGGGATGAGGTGTTAATGATGAGCGGCACTGACAGCCCGGGACACATCCTTCCCTTGCCATCATCTATCAGTCAATCCCGCCAGAACACACCGCCGGGGTTCATCTGAGCCTCCTGGTAGAGCCCTCTCAGATCTCAGAGCAGTTTATTCGAGGTTCGGAAGGCGAAGAGATCAGTTTAGTTCTCAAAGAGCACCATATCTTGTGACGGAGAAAGAGTGAAGGGATATGCTTGCATGCATTAACATTATTATACTTAATACATTTAACGGAGCAAGGAATTTTTCACAGCATTTCCTACACATTTTTTTTCTTCTGGAGAAAGTCTTATTTGTTTTATTTCAGCTAGAATAAAAGCAGTTTAATTAAAAAAAATAAATAAAATTTAGGATTAATATTTTTAGCCCCCTTAAGCAATACTTTGTCTTGATTGTCTACAGAA